TCTTCCATTTTCACATCTTAGATTGGATCTCAGCTCTCTATTCTTGCTTCTTTTCACCACTCAAAAGGGCATGTTTTCCCTGCAATTCTTGTTTTTTTCTCTCTCTCTCGATATAACTGATGCTAGGTACACAGTAGGTGCACAATAAATGGTAGCCATTATTATCACACTGATCCTCACTGCCTGGCTGTCTTTGAAAACCAAGACCTAGGATAATAAGGTGTAATGAGCTAATAAGTAATACGCATGCTTATTAATAAGTAATAAGATGCTTCTATGTCCTTTACTAACCAAACCCTAACTCAGTTTTGAGCCTCTTACCAAAAAGTGCAGTGAGAAGTATGAAGGGAAAACATACAAACAAATAAGATATTGTCCCTGCCCTTAAATTTCTTATAATCTAGTTGGGGGCCCCTCCCTGGCAGTTAAAAAGTGCCAAATGAATATGAAAGGTGTACATGCTGAAAGAGTTCACTTCCACTGGGGAGTCCAGCAAAGATGTCACAGAAGAAATGGAATTTGAACTGAACCTTGAATGCTGGCTTGGACTTGAAATAATAGAAGAGAAAAGCCAGAAAGAGCATTAAGAAGTTGATCTATGGGATCTAGATTTTCCATCACAATGAAACAAGTTACTTTCTGCATCATAGATCAGAATTACACTAAACCAGTAAGAGCTGGACCCAAGAAGGGCAACATCTCTCTCTATAAAACTCAGAGGTGAATCTGGGAAGGAAAGCATCTATTTCTCCAGTCTAAGGTGGGACGATTCTATGCTGCCATGTCAAAGATGCTGTAACATTTATTTTCTTCTTCCTTTAACCTTTCCACAGTTCTGACAATTATTCCGCTGTCCCTCTTTCCCATTCAACACTGCTCAATCCTCCTTTCCCCATGTCAACAACTCCAAGCTCTTCCTCAACAAACAAACAAAAAACATTAAACACCTTTTTTCAATTCACCTGAATTTGCAGACCCTGATTTTACATTCAAAGTCAAGCAGCCCTGTTGCTTTATCATTTGTAATCCCTTCAGATTTTTTCTTAACATCTCAATGAAATTCTCTCATAAATCCCCTTCTTTGCTGACCAAGTGCTGTGCAGTTGCTGATTTTGCAAGATATGTGCTAATGTAAAGTATGTCTCCTTTGAGTCTCTTTATCACTTGGTTGCTCTCTGCTCCACCTTCTCCATATTTATGTCCTTATCAAAGCTGCACACAGTATTTCAAATGAGCTTCAGTGTTCTTCCTGCCAGGCCACAGTATTGACTGTAATACGATAGCCTATCTCAAAATTGGTTTGGGGGATTCTTTTTCTCATTGTGGTTAAAATAGCTTGCCTTGTAAATGCCAGAATATATTTTTGCAGATTAGGTTTTTTATGAAAAATGATGTCAAATGCTTTCCGGAAGGGTGTTTAAATTATTTGGATACGCTGCTTCATCCATTAATGTTTTCTTTCGCAGTTTAACCTCACAGGTTTGCAGGACAGTTTCACCACTGAAAATTTATGCTGATTTCTTTGTCATTAAACATAACTTCCTTAAGGATTCTTACATTCAAGCTGTGGCTTAGAGCTTCAAAACACTTTCCGCCTGCTGTTGAAATCATGAGGTCCGTGGTCTCCCAGATCTTTTCTAAAAGTCTCTCTTAACAGAGAAGAAGCCTTCGCAGCGTCTGTCTTCTTCAGCTGTTGCTGATCATTTCAAAGACGTATTCACAGACCCTGCTCTGCATCAGACAGCTGTTATGAGGTTACCGAGTGTTTGTGTGAGAGTGTGTGGCTCTGTGTCTCCTTTCAAGTTTCCACTTGCATGTAAAATTGTCTGAGAAAGGTTTTGTGCTATTTCCCCAGTGCAGTGTGTTTCCTGTTTTCCTTGGGAGGGCTCTGTATTGTAATCATTTTTCCACTCCAAATTCCTTCTAGGCTGATTTCCTTAACTGTTTTGACTCCTTCACTGTGTCTAAATTTGCATGTTGGCAATACAATGTTGGAGTTTATTTCACATGGGCAGAGCACGTTCCACTTCTGTCTCATCCCTGTCATTTCTCTTTACTCCATTTATCTAAGCACTTGCTACATTCTTCTAAACCTAAGATCCGAAACCTCAGTTTTGGTTTTCTAGTGCTTGGATGGGTGTCAAGATGATTTATAAAGCACTCTCATCCCAGGGCCATGGGCCAATGATACCATCAGTTTAGCAACTCCTGAACTGCTTACCTAGACTTGCCTATTGATTAAGGCTGCTACCAGATGCAGCTTGGTCCACATGCTCCATCCAGCAAGCCCTAGTTTACGAGCCAGTCATTTATGATGAGCATCATTTCAGTCATCATTGCGCGATGTGCCTTTGGCACTTTTTTGATTCACATTCATAGACTGCAGTCACCCATAATTAAATCCTGTCACTGTTGCATGAATTATTTTATCTAATCATATTTAATTCACCTCCTTCTTCTTTTGGAAATCTCTAGTGAGCTTCAGGCTTCATCCTGTAGATCTTTTGTCTATTTCTGAAGCTAAAGCTAGATTGATTACACATTCTGGCCTTTGAATACTTTGTGCTAGTCCTCATGCCAGGAATATAAAGCAATCTATTACTAATGTAGTTTTCTTCTTTCTTTCTTTTGTGGCACCTAAGACTTTTCAGATCATACGATCCATCTGAACATGGACCAGTGGTTCTCAACTGGGACTATTTCGCCCCCAGGGGAAATTTGGCAATTTCTGGAGACATTTTTGATTGTTTACAGCAGGGGGAGGGGTGCTACTGGCAGTTAGTAGGAAGAGGCCAGACAGGCTGTTAAACATTCTACAATGCACATGACAGTCTCTCACAACAGAAAAATAATTTAGCCCGAAATTTCAGTAGCACCAAAGTTGAGAACTCCTTGTACTCCACCAAATGATTCTAGATGTACTTAAATGTGGTAAGAATACATCTATATCCTTAGATCCCTGATATCTCTGGGTCCAGGGCGTGATCAAAGATGATCTTTTGAGAACACAGCTATATTTTCAACTCTGTTTCCTTAGGATTATGCATCTGAATGGCTGAGTTTGCATGTGCAGAGCCCAAATTTGCTATTAATCCTTGCTATCTTCTTAATTTACTTATACCTACTTCTTTGGACCAGAAAAGAAAGAGTATAGCCAGCCAGTATATATTAAATTCATTTATTCATTTATTTTGTAGTGTTTGTTAACAACAGGCATTAAGCTAGGTGCTGGGAACTGCTAGGTGCTTCCATTTATACTGTTCTACATAATTCAAGCAAGCTGGCATGGGTCAGAGCTCTCTCTAAAGCATAAATTCATCTGTATTCAGAGACCAAAGTTTTTTGGCCTGAAAGGTCTAGAATATATCAACTTGTACTTAGAGCAAAAGAGAATCTTGGAGTCCGAGTGTATACTTTGCTCTGAGCCCTGGGGAGTCAGCTATTATGGCCCTTGGGTAATCTAAACATGACTTTCCCAAATGTTTTTATCTAGAGAGAGTGGTTTCAATCTCTTTCACCAGACTAGCATAGTCCTTTTATTATTGTCTTTATTGTTTCTAAGATGTATGAGGTTTCCTAGGTGCTCAAAGTTGTTCTTTGGAAATCAAATCAGACCATTCTTATTGGTCTTGCATACATTAAATCCAAACAAAAATGTTCTTACCTTCTGTGGCTGATCTTAACTGGAACCCATGTTGGTGTCGTTAAATCCTTTCCCCAGCTCACCCTACTAGGCTTTTTACGTGGTCTACCTGAGTCAAAGTGTAACAGGTCTCAGCACGAAGAGGTGAGGGTGGGGAGGCTGGCAGACCCAATCAATAATTTTTACTCAGACTCTGAAGGTATGACTGACTGAGAATTGGGTTCACTAGGTTCTGGCCTATGCAGGAGCTTTTTTGGAAAACAACCAAAATTACACACACACATAGACACACACATACACACAGCAGACACATACAAATACACACACACATACATACACACAGTCGTGTGCTGCATAATGACTTTTCAGTTATTTCAGATGGACCACAGATATGATGGTGGTCGCATGGGATTCTAATACTGTTTTAATGTACCTTTTCTGTTTAGATAGGTTTAGATACACAAATACTCACCATTGTGCTACAACTGCCTACAGTATTCAGTACAGTAACATGCTGTACAGGTGTGTGGCTTAGGAGCAATACGCTATTGTCCCATATAGCCCAGGTGTGTAGTAGACTATATCATCTAGGTTTGCATAAGTACACTCTATGATGTCCACACAATGACAAAATCGCCTACCAATGCATTTCTCAGATCATATCCCCATCATTAAGCAACACATGATTGTGTGTCTGTGTGTGTGTATGTGTGTGTGACTGTTAATGTAGGAACATATAGCAACATATAGCAATAAATATACTTCTCTCACTTGGGACCTAGAATGTGTTATTAAAGTGGAGTTTAAAAAAGTCCTCTTTAAAATCACAGCAGGCTGAAACTGCTCTGTTTCTAAGGGACTGGACTATTTCTCTAGGAGTAGATTGCCTTCTGTTATTGGAAAGGCAAATATTCCTTTTCTTCTCTTATTCCCTGTTCCCATCTCATCACCCCTCTCACTTGAAAGAACAGGAAGAGAGAATTAAACTGCTCTCCAAAAGAAATAATGAAGAGCAAGTGAAAAGAAGAAGAGGGGCTGAGAAATGTCACCAGTGGGAGGGCAGTGGGGGTGGTAACTAAAGGAATTTTTTTTTTTTTTTTTTTTTGAGACAGGGTCTCACACTGTCACACAGGCTGGAGTGCAGTGTTGTGATTATAGCTCACTGCAGCCTCAAACTCCTGGGCTCCAGAGAACCTCCTGCTTCAGCCTTCCAAGTAGCTGGGACTACAGGTGCGTGACACCATGCCCAGTTCATTTCTTAAAAAATTTTTTGTAGAGATGGGGTCTCACTTTGTTGCCCAGGCTGGTTTCAAATTCCAGCCTCAAGTGATCTCCCTGCCTTGGCCTCCCAAAGGGTTAGGATTACAGCTGTGAGCCACTGGGCCCAGCACAAAAGGACTGTTAAGATATTTAATATTAAAATTTAAAGGTGTTTATTACCTAGAGTTGTGGTATAGACACTATGGCCCCTGGCTGCCTCTTAGTCCCCACCAGTGCTCCAACACTTGAAGAAAGACTGGTCTATACTCAAATGTCTGATCGGTGATATCTGGGGCCAATAAAAAAGAGAAAGACTCATCTGGGTCATGTTGGAGCAGAAAACTAAGAACAGCTGCATGAGACGAGATGTGAATGAGATAGAGAATTTACAGGGGCAGCAAATTAAAACCACAAGTGCTCTTGAGAATTTAAGACCCCAGGAATTCACAAACATCCTGAGGAGGGCATTGTACTTTTTCAGGAAAGGGAGTTCTTCTCAACTATATGTAAATATCAAAGAATGGGTACCTCTGCTGGCATCTGAGTTACTTAACATTCAAATGACTGTGAAGGTAGGCCCAGACGTCTCAAGAATCCACATACTGCTTCATATGTGGAGAGCATATGAGCCATTCATTCATTATTCAGTAAGTATAGAGCCACTTCTACATACCAGACTTAGCAAGATATGATGGCAAACAAGACGGCCACCGTCCCTGACTTCATGGAGTTTACATTAGTGAGGGGGGAGTAGGGAGAAAAGTGGGGAGAGATGATAAACATTTAAATACATTTAATCATTTAAATAATGATAGTTTTTATGCAATATTAAAAATTGGATGATATAATGAAAAATACCAAGGTGGGTCATTTTAGGTAGGGAAGTCAGTGAGGTCTCCTGAGGAAGTGACTTTTAAGGCCTGAAGACTTAGGAAGAATCCTCCACACAGCAAGCAAAGGGAAAAACACTCCGGGCAGAAGCTGTAGCAGGCACAAAGGCCCTGAGGCAGAAAGAGACTGGAAAATCTCTGGAATCCATGGAAGACCAATGACTAAAACTTCATGAGAAGGTTGGGAAGGGTCATGAGATGAGGTTTAAGGGTTAGACCATGGCCAGTAAAGGCTCTGAAGGGCAAGAAATGGAGTTTGGATGTCCTTTTAAGCCTGATGGGAAAACTAAAGACTAAAGAAGACTAAAGACATCAGATTATGTCATTGGTTTGCTTAAAACGATGCTGTAACAGAACTGGTTGGCAAGGAGCAAGAGTGGAAGAAACAAGACAAAAAGAAAGGCTATTTCAGACATTCAGGTGAGGTGACCAGCATGACAGCCATAAAGATGAAGGGCGTGGGTAGCTGGCAGTGTATAATCAGACTCGCTGATGGAACAGATGTGGGACTTGAAGAAAATTAAGGGAATCTTCTGTTCAACAAATAAATATTGAGTGCCTACTACGTGTTAGTCACTGTTCCAGTTGTTGGGGATGTATCAACAGTGAATACTAACAAAGATCTCTTCCCGGTGGCACTTGCATTCATCAGGGATTATTGGTTTAAGCAACTAACTGGGTAGAATTGGAATGCCTTTTCCTTGGATGAGGAAGAGTGAGGAAGAAACATGGCTCAAGGACATCAAAAGTTCCATTTTGGCTATTTGAAAATACCTGTGAGCCATCCAGCGGAGAATTCTAGTGGCAGATGAGTCTGAATCTCAGAAGAGGAGTTTGAGGATTACTTATGAATTGAGAAATGATCAACATATACATAATGTTCTAAGATTTCTAAACCCATGAGAATGGATGAGACATATCTGGCCCCTGATTGAGTGCAAAAAAAAGAAAATAAGGCTCTGAGCTAAACAGTGAGCAGCTCCAGTTTTTAGGCGCTGGATAGAAGTGGGTCTACTGTCAAAGGAGCTGGAGAGAGGGTGATAGTGAGTGGGAAGAAAACCAGGAGACAGTGAAGCCATGGAAGCTATGAGAGGGAAAGGTTGAAAGAAGGAAAGGGTGGCCAGTTTCACTGACAGCCAGTGCCATGTCAAGCACTATGAAGACAGAAAGAATTCCCTGGATTGTCAGTATGGAGATGGTTGGAGGTCTTGACTAGAAAAATTTCAGCAGAGCAAAGGGAATGGAAGCTGGTTTGGATTGTGCTGTGGAGTGAACAGGAGTGAGAAGGTGGAGACAGTGTGCTCACAATCCTTCTAAGAGGCCTTGAGAAATGGGATAGTGGTTGGAGGGCACTGTGGGGTCAGGAGAGGGTCTTTATTTCTGTTTTGCTGTTTTCCTAAATGGGAACTAATAAAGTATGTTTGCATTTGATGTTGGGAATGATTCAGTCCAGAGGGAAGCACTGAAAATGAAAAAGGAGAAGGTATAACTAGGGAGACAGCATGAAGGACTGAGACTTGAGCCCAAGCAGAGGTTGCCTTTGGGGGCACCTCCTGCTCTGGTGGGAGGAAGAAGAAGATAGGCAAATGTAGGTCTTACCACATTTGTCTTACTGAGGAAGCAAGATTTCTTTCTGCCACTGCCAGGCTTCAATGTTAACTGAACTCAGCACGGCCAGGTTGCTCTGTCCTTGCTGATGTTATTGACCAAGAGACTGATGAGAAGGGAATGAGAGGGTTTGAGCTGTAAACAGAAGCCACAGCCAAGAAGGAGAGTTCAGGTCTCTCCATTTAACTCCCCCATCGTGTTCTGATCCAGGAGAAGATTTTGGTCATTTTCAATTCAGTCGTTTAGACTTTCACGGAGTGGTCCAGAGGGCCCTCGGGCTCAGAGGACAATGAGGCTTGAGGATGGCATGTATCTACAACTGTGGATGGACTGACACCCTGGACTGGCCAAGCCCAGGTCGTCTGGGCTGAGGTATCATTTAGCTAGCAAGCAGTTTTTTGTGGTAGGAGAAATTGAAGACTTCCTCCATAAGTCTCTCTGGGGAAGGGAGAAATTGACGACGGTCAAGCGGCTCTTAAAGGACATCCTATAACTTCTGAGAACAGAATTGGATAAGGGTAGGGTTCTACCAAGAGAGTCAGGAATAGCAAGAGAAGGGAAAGTAGAGAATGGGACTCGGGGTGGGCAAGGATTCTTAGATATAAGGTTTTAATGGGAGGTCCTACTTGTGATTCAGTGTTCCCAGCAGAGGAGATGGAAGGAAATTATAGCTTGTGTACCTGAAGGGCCGGAGTTGAACTAGGATTTTATGCATATGATCTTACTTAAGCCTCACAGCAATCCTGTGAGGTAGTTTTCTCCCCTCTTTAATTTTACAGGTAGGCAAATTGAGGCTCAGAAAGTTAATATGTTTAAAACTACATAACTAGTAAATAGCAGATACAGAATTTTAGCCTGGATCTACCTGACTCCAAATCCTATGCATTTGCCAGAATGGTGTTCTCCCTTCCTGGGCCTCCAGTGAGTGGTAACAGGTGCCTTTGCTGCCTCTTCAAGGGATTTGTAATACCATCTTTTCTTCCCTAGACTGTTGTGTGATAGCATTCCAAAGACTTTCTTCAGTGGGCTCCACAGAAGTCCTTGAGTTTGAGGGGCTTCAGGAAGGAAGAGAACAGAATCTCATAGGGAAGACTCCTCTATGAAAAACAGACCCCTTTCTCCTTATTTGTCTGCTTTCCCCCATCAATTCAACATCCTCTCCCTCCCCAACTTTGCCATATTGGGCTGGGAGGCTTTAGAACCATACTTCCACCCAGCTGGGTTAAAGCCCTCACAGGAGCCACTGAGCCAAACCAAACTTCATGTACATTACCCATGCAGAGCACATCCTCCAGTGTTTACATGTTGAATAGTTTATGATTTGCTCTACATCTGATCAGGCAGAGTCAACTACCAAAACTGCTGATCCGTGGAAACTTCACAGCCTTTCCGGGCATAATAACGGCTACAGCTACAGCTTATTCAAAGAGAGAAATAGCCTTTGATGAGCTGTGCAAGGACAAATTAAGACGTGACTCTCACCCAGCATCTAGATAGTATCCTGATGTTCCAGGCTTTACCCAAAAAGAAATGGTTCTAGGGGAGCTGGGAGGCTTTGACCACACTCTCCTAATAGCAGTGGAAGGACCAGGACCTAAAGATGACCATACCACCAAGGACTTCAGAGCATCAGAAGCAAAACAGCATGTTGCTAAGGCAATTCTTTCTGTCATCTCTGCTCTTCCAACCTGTGGCAAAGTCAGATAACTGTCCCTAAGTTCCCATTATCTACTTCTTTAGTAATAGAAACCCTAATTTTTAGCTGGCAATGTGGGGGGCGGATTCTGGTTGGCTGAAATAAACTCTATATTTCTCAGCCTCTTCTGGTTGGATGGGGTCATGTATCTAAGTTCTAGACAATGAGATGAAAGTAGAACTGCCATGTAAAATTTCTGAGAAATAGCCTTAAGAGGTATTAAATCAAGGTTAGCCTAAAGGTACCTCCTTACATATTTTAAGTTCAGCCTAAAAGTTTCTCTGTACATCGTGAACTGTAATCTAAACAAAGTTGTAAACAGAATGTAACCTACTCTTGTGCCAATCACCAAGTTTTGGTCAATCAAAGGTGGCCAGCTGTTCAAACCATGTTCAAATAAGGCAAACTCTGAGCGGTAACCAATCTGGCTGTTTCTGTACTTCTGTTTTCTGTATATCACTTTCCTTTTTCTGTCCATAAGTCTTCTCCTACCATGTGGCTGCACTGCAGTGGAGTCTCTGAGCCTACTCCGGCTCAGGAGTCTGCCAAATTCAGAAATTGTTCTTTGCTCAATTAAATTCTTTTAAATTTAATTTGACTAAAGTTTTTCTTTTAACAAGGGAGAGGTGTATACTTCGTTCTTCTTTCCTGCTGGCTGGAATGTGGAAGTGATGACTGGAGCTTGAGCAACTACCTTGAACAGTGAGGTGGAAACTATTATTCAGAATAGATGGAAAATACTATTATTCAGATACAGGGAGCCTGGATCCTTAGAGATTGTAGCATAATAATTGCAGCCTGAACTGCCACTATAAGTCATATCTTTTGGCACTCACTGTCAACCCTAATCTATCTTATAAAAAACCTCTACCTTAGGCACCTCCACATGTCCCTAATGACCCCTGGAAAGCCACATCTCACTAAAACATCCTTACCAAAACAGGGAGAGGCAACAACCTTTGCATTGTGAGGAGCAGTGATTTCAGGCACTGAGAAGCTGTGCTGCTTCTATACCATTATCAGCTGGCATGGGAAAGCCCATGCAATCCCATTTCTCCAGCTCAATGATGTTCAGGTTTCTACTGTGTGTAGTTCTTTGGTCAAACTTTACATGGACATTTCCCAAGGCCTGCAGGACGTCTCAACCAGCTCCTCCAACTTGACTCATCTAAACCCAAATTTCTTCTTCTCTCTCAGAATAGCCCTTAGGCCAAGGGAAGAGGAGCTCCTGCCCTGGGCCTGAAGCTTGAGGGAGCATCCCCACCGCAAAGCCAACATCCTCCTTTTGAGACCACATTCCAGGTACCCAAGACCCCAGAATTCCCTGTCCTGGTAGCCTCAGGCCCACTTCCAGGTCTGGTCACTCTGAGGACAGGGTGGCCAGGATCAGCTCTCTTCAGGGAATGTGGGTGGAGTTTGGCTGTGAAGGCTGGGAAGTGCACACTTGTCCTTGCAAAGCCCTCACCATGTGGGGCAAAGCCAGGTCAGAAAGAAAAGGGGGTTGTGCAGCAAGGTGGGGCCAAAGACTAGGGGCTGGTTCTCACTGTCTCTATGTTCTGGCATAAAACTCTGAGGAGTGCCAGAAATTAAAATTTCCGTCTGGATCTCAAGGACATTGTGAAGGTATATTTGTCAAAGTAGGAGAATAGGACATGTTTTATTTAACAGTTGGTTGGCTTAATGTATAACTTTAAAATATTTAGATGTATGGTATGTGGGCCTCTGTTTGAACTTCTACCCAGGGCCAAGGTGTCTATGTGACACTTCCTGGGACAAAAGGGCCTGTTTGCCCCATGGAGGGTGTCAGGAATGCCAACTGAGCTTGCGGGGGGAGATGACTAGCCAGGTACTCTGAGAGAGACAGTGCTGGAGCACAGACCAAAAGGAAGTCAGGAAACAGCTTCTGCTAGAAGTGAGGAGTGGAAAGAGCAAATCAGGTGAGACAACTGGGCTGTAAAGAGAGTGGAGCAGGAGACGCCAGATGCAGAAATTCCATGCTGGAGGCATGGGATGAAGAAGAGCCTCTGGTCACAGAACCTGAAGCCAGGGATCAGCAAGGCTGGAAATAGCGCAGATACCAGAAGTACAGGATCCTGCTTGTCACACCCTTGTTCCTTATTGCTCTGTGTTTGCATCTTGTCAAACTCAATCTATATGGCTCAACAGCTGTCCAGTGCCCATAGGATAAAGGGGAGGAATAACCCCAGCATTCCATGATCCCCCTGCTAGTGGGTAGGGGGTAGCAGTGGGATCCAGGTAGCAGTTTTATCATAGGCAGGTAATGACATTATGCATCAAGATCATCTTCCTGATTTAGCACCCTGGGGAAAGGAGATGGGAAGAACTTGGAAGAGTATCAGAGCCTGCCCCAGTCAAAGACACTAAGGATCAGGAAAGGGTTCCAGCCCAGGAAGTCAACCAAGGCAGAATGTCAGTTGTGTGGACTTTGCCAAGGTAGCAGGGAGAGGGAGAAGGCCAAGGATAAATGTCAGATGTAGAGCAATGCCAGTTCTAAGTAGAACTATGGCCATAGCAATTTCTCATCATCTGTGTCTATTTTTGCTGGTAGAATGGTTGGATGATTGGATGGTACTCATGCAATGCTAGTTTAAAATATCTTTTAATGTCACCCTTGGTTGCCAGTCCATTCTCTTCTCGGGTCATGGCTTGCTTTTGAAGTTGGACAGAGAGGAGTAGTAGACCTGAAAACTAGAGGCCTCAGGGTTTCCAGTAACAGCTGAGGAATCTGCAGGACCTAGGGAAACTGGCCACTGGATGCCTCCCATTCCAGACCATGCCCCAGTAGCCAAGACCCTGGAAGTCTCTGCCCAAATGGTCCTGAGCCAATTTTCAGTTCTTGCATGAGCCTCTGCACAGGTCTGTCCTTCTGAGTGTGGACCAGGCTCCCCCAATGTACTCCTCAACCTGATCGGTGGCCAAAACAACAGATATTTGTGGGGAGTGTGGATGGAGCTTGGACACGGAGACAGGGGTGTCCACACATAAGATCTTGATGCCCTCATACTGTGGGATGGAAAAGAAAGGCCTGCCATATACTGGAAAGGGACTCTGAGAAGTCTGAGGAGTTCTAAATTCAAAACTAGCCTTCAAGGTCAGCGTGAAGTGTATTTGTCAAGATATGAGAATATAATATATTTTATTTAAGTGCTCTGTTAGATTCCTTGATCCTTTTAAATATTTAGATATCAGGCATATGGATTTTCATTTGTCCTCTGGCTCCTACAACTATTAGGGGTGTGTAGGTAAGGAGCACAGGGATCGTTCTGGCAGAGGTGCATCTTGCAGGCATAGCAATGGGGATTTCAGTCCTGATCTAAAGAGTCAATGCCACGCATGCTAGAAAGGCTTTCCACAGCATGGTCAGAGGCCAGCCATCAGGAGGGTCCAGGCCCCTTCTTAACAGTCAGCACCAAGACCTGGATGGCTTTGCATTGACAGCATTTCAGACTGGGTTCTCTTCTCTCCAGTAAGCACTGCCACTACGACTTTCCTCCTACAGTACTGTGTATAGCTGAAATAGTATCATTAAAAATATTTAAAAGCAAGGTCTCTATGGGCCAGACAGTACCTGATGCTGACATGTGTAAACAAAGGATTTACTTTATGTATCATCACATCTACCCTGTGAGGGTAGGCAGGGAAGGCTTCATCATTTCCATTAGCAGATGAGAAAACGAAGGCTTAGTGAGGTTAAAGAACTCCAAGATCTCCCAGTAAGGAGAAGGAAGGATCTAAACAAGAAGCTAGGCCTTTTAACTCCAGTTTAGTACCCTTTCCACTCCACATAGTCCCATTTAACTCAGAAACAGAAATGCCATAAGAAATCTCCAGCATTTATTTCCTGAAAGAGTTTATGAACTGCATTTGGTCAAAGGTTAGCACGTCTATTTATGAAGCTTCTTTAGTTCTGGTTGGTTAATGACATTTAATCGCACGTACCTTGCAGTGGGCCAGGATAATGGAGAGAGATGCGCAGGGGTCAACTAACAACATGCAATTTGATAAAATTCCAAGGCTTTTATGGAGCACAACTGATCCATTATATAAGATTTCATAAGCCAAAGGTAAAATTAAAGTGAGAGAAACTGCCTAAAAATGTCAGGTAGGTGTACTGGACCATGCAGTTACTTTTTTCTCAAGCAGTTTCAGAAACCGATAACTTAGCAAGATTGAAAACTTTATGTGTGAATGTTGGATGTATAAAATAAACCAATCCCCAAAACGTACTGATTAAAACAATCATTGATTGGCTCATGATTCTGTAAGTTGGCCCTTTGGGCAGTTCTGCTGGTCTGACCCAGGCTTACTCATGTGGTTGCAATCCGCTTGTGGGTGGGATGGGTGGCCGTGGCCTGCTTCCACATCTTCTTTTCCTCTAAAAGGCTAGTTCAAGCTTGCTTACATAGTTTCTAAGCAACAATTCTGAACCCCAATGTGCATGTTTTTCAAATGTCTCTTTGCATCACATTTGCTAATGTCCAATTGACAAATGCAGGTCACAGGACCAAATAGCAATGGGAGGAAATTCAAAGAAATTGTGGCTTTTCTTTTCTTTTCCCTTGCAAATCTACTACAGTCTTTTCAGGTCCATAAAAAATCTCATCTTATTATGGCAGCTGACTTGATGGCCATGATTTTATTCTCCAAATCAGGTCCAACTGCAGATGAGGTTTCACTCTTCAAGTGCAACACCTCTTGATCTGGAAACCTATAAACAAAAAAGACAAGCTATCGCCATCCCCTCTCCCCGCTTATAAATACCTTCCTTCAATGCGATACAGGGAAAGGATGAGCCAAACCAACACTCTCATTTATAGAGAGGAGGCAAAGAGAAGTCACTGGGTCATAGCAATTCTGAAATTTAACTAGGCATGTGTTGCCAAGACCCCGTGCCTGGAGGCAGCAAATGTTCTTAATTAGGATATGGTTCTACTGCCTGAGAGTAGTTCACCAGTCCATTGTCTTATATGAATTCCTGTGAGAAAATGTAAGATACATTAGAAAAGGGCTTAACACTTAGATTATATATAAGTCACAGATAGTTAATATTAAATGTCTATTCTGCAGACACATAGTATTCTAGAAGGTCACAGGTATAGGGCAGATTAGGATTTGATACCATCTTTGTAATCTCTCCAGTGGATGAGGTAACCTAAAAGGTGTGAACACTTTCCATCCTGAGCTTTTGATTAAAACCTGGTAGGCCTGGCCTGTATAGGTTGGTGCATGACTTTGGTTTTCAACAATATAGTATCTTCATACTGCAAAAAGGGCTAATTAAATGATCCTTGTATTTTGAGTTGTAGTAAGATGCCCTAATACAGTGGCTCTCAGGGATACACCTTCCCCAAGGGTCATTTGGAAATATGGGGGAGACATTTTGATTCTCACAGTGTTTGAGGGCTGTAATTGCCATTAGTTAGGTAAGTGTCAAGGATTCTCTATGAACTGCAATGTGCGGGATGATCTTGCACAGTGAATAATTGATGCATGATTGCCATGACTTTTAAATGTCCCAGAAGACAGCAGTGTAGGTGAAAAACCTGTTTGCAGTTATCTAAGCTTAAAGCCTAACTCGATTTTCATATAAACACCGACTATTTTGGATACAGTTTAAATGTATACTGAATTTTCCACGAGTGCAACTACCATGTGAGTGGAGGGAAGATTATACTTGGCTTTGTTGGGAACTTAACCAAGAGTTGTTAGCCACTTCAGAAAACTGTATCACTGGCAACGATATTGCTTGGGGCACTTGAGCTGCCAACACTGCACCTCTGTCTGTTGGCATTTTTAGCTGTTGCAATCATAGTAATTCTACATATAGGCACAAACATCTGACTTCTTCTTTCTATCTTCTAATGAAGTCATGTCTGAGCTTCTCCATATTGATATATGTTGTTTTATTATACATTATGTTCCTTTTATTTCTTATTTAAATTACAGTTATGGCATTATATTGATTTTTAAAACATTATGTTTGAAGGTAAGATATACCATCTGTGATTTTAATCTCAAGATAATAAAGAAGGTATTATATAATATGTGTTCTAAAAAGGTCTGATAGGGTTTAGAAGCACTACCCTAATACAAGCTTATCAGGATAGAATATTTTTCAGAGGCCTGAGGAGTACAGGGTAAACATGAGCAAGGCTAATCCATTACCTGAAGTCATGCTCTGGGTCATTGGTAAAAGAAAGATGGATTCGATGTTGGAAAATAGATTCTGTATCTTATATGCTTAGAAACCAGATGAGACTGACAGGTTTTGACAGCTCACTAATAAAGAATGTGATTTTCTTTTTCATGACTGTAGAAAAACATTGCTTATTAGTTTTTATTTTGACATGTGCTAAAATTTAGCTACATATTTATGACTTCCTCAGATTATTCCAGTCAATGGCCTTGGGTTCTGAACGTATGAAGACACTGTCCTATGCTCAGTGCCTCACGCTCTGGCTCTGGGCTTAGGCTTGGTTGGGAGGGTTGAACGGTGGTCTTGTCCCAGATGCCGATTCTCAACCTCTTGCTTCCAACCAGAAGAAGCTGCGACTCCCAGATGGCCTCTCCCAGGGTTCAGACAGATAGCCCAGAAAAGGTAACTCTGGCTCTGAAACTGGCTTGCCTCCAGTCCTGGCCAACATCTTGTTTCCTGGGTTTGACCCACAGTTTGGCCATATCAACTCTACTGAGGCTTGCCTTTATCAAACTATAGCCTCCTGGGCATGTTGGTGTCACCTGCTCCAAAAAGGGTGACTTGAATAAATCCTCAAAGGAGACTGATGGTCAGTGATATCCTTCACTTAGGCAGAAAGTAGAAATTTGTTTATTATTTAGTCCTAGAATAATTTGTTTATCTCAGTTTGTGAAAATGAACCTTAAACAATCTGGATTTCCAAACACTTCCCTAGAATGATGAGTTCAATCATGATGGATGGCAACTTTTTCCTCACAATAAAAATGAGCTGGGCAATCTGCTCACCCAGCCCCCTTTCATTGGTGTGTCTCCAACGGGAACATTTCACTCGCCTCTACTTCCATAATCACCCAGGCCTAGCAAAGCTGTTAATCTTTTGTAGATAGTAAATCAGCTATTTTACTTTTTTGACACCTTCCTTTTCCATCACTGCAGCACTGATAGAGGTCATAAACTAACTGGTTGGCATTTTAAAAGACCCCTTCTTTCTTCCACCCTAAATTACGTCTTTTGGTAGGTGGATGTATCTTACTTGATTATAGAAGTTTTCTTTTTCAAAACTTGGTCAGGCATGCTCAGTAGGTCTATTGTAACCCATTGTTAGCCCAGCACTCTCATCTTGACCATGTTAAGATGAGCCAAATGATGTTTTCAAAGCCATGGAAACATTTAGACTTAAAAACGTGCCTTTCTTTTGGAATGAAGAGACGATACCCCTAACCATTGTTGGAAGTATTATGGCAAAGTATTAAAGAAATGCTTCGCAGGCATGGTTCTGTTCAAAGCAATATACAAAGAGGGGTTCCTGACCTTAAATGCCTGTTGATGTCACTTTCCTTGAAGGGGACCTGCCCCAGATAGGCAAAGGAGAGATCCACAGCAGCCATGTCTTATTGAGGGGCTTTCACCTCTGTCACTAGCTGATTGACACAGCAGTGAACACCTGATCTGAACTAAGCAAATCAGATTCTCTCTGGAATCTCCAATTTGGAATTTTGAACCAAAACTCACAAAGATGGGATTACTCAGGGCTGATGCACGTCAAAGGCAGCACGCTAGAGAGAAAGTCCACAGATTCCTGCTGCTGAGGTTTCAGCCAGCAGACTTGGCTGTTCCCCTCATCCTCAGATTGGGAGCTGCCTCAGCGTCCTTTCAGTAAGTTACCTTTTTAACTTAACTTAGCCAGAGACTGTTTCTAACACTTGGAACCAAAAGAATGTTAACTAACATGCAGACAATGGCAGAGAATACCAACGTAGCAAAATGTCTGCTACGCTTAATGATAAGGGAATGGAGACAGACACTCAGTATAGAATGGGGCAGTGTTTTCATCATGGGCATCTTGGTGACCTTGGTTTTCAAATTAAAAAGTAGGAAACATGATCTGATAGATATGAGAATGCTTATGAGGAAAATAACATATTTGAAAGAAGTGTCTAGAAATATGTAAGATGTTTCATTACTCTCTCTGTAAGTGTTATTTACAGGACAAAGAAAATCACAATAGGGCATAAAGAGGCGAGGAATGATAGAGGACTCGACAAGCCACTCTAAAACTAAAACAAAAACAAAATGAAGGAAAAGCCCACTTTGCTTCACCCTGAAATGGCTCTGCCTTCTGGTAACCCCAAATTCAACTTTCTCTCAGGAGGAAAGCAGGAACAGCATATTAATGAAGTTTCAACTTTACATTCTTATGATCAGTGAGAACTGCCTAATATTCTCTTGATCACACTGGGTCACCTTCCTGTGCTATTTGTTTGTTTTAAATGCACCAAAAGCTGCTTTGTCTACAGTTCTAGAGGTCACTGGCTCCTGGGGAGAGAGGACAGGAAAACTGAAGGAGACTTTTTGCCATGTACTGCTTGGAAGGGTGCCTTTTCAGATGTGAAGGGCAGTTTGGCTTCCTAAACCTAATTATATGGAGTTGTGTCTAGGAGAATGCAGCTGCCCTGCTCTACTGGGCACCTGAAAGAGTTAACGTTTCCCCCAAGTCCAGACTCAAGACAACAGAGTGCTGATGTGTACTCGGATGCCATGGCCATATTTATGATTTGCCAGCTGATCCATTTGGCTTTGTAAGTTTAATGTTTTCAGGTTGATAGGTGATAATTTTGGTTGGATTTATGCATCCGATAATCAACTAGGAAATAATTCTGATTCAATAAGATACATTACACAGCAGCATCTATTTCAGTAAGTAACATCTCTGGATTGCTGTATACTACTAGGAAATTCAAATTTTTTCAAGAGAGCTACATCAGATTTTTGGGATGGTACCATATATTTATTTCAGACTAAAAAACTTGCTGGTAATATAAGCTGGCTAACTCAATTTAGTTTGTAGAAATGTAGTTATTTTGAGGTCTAATTCATGGATATCTTTGCTAAAATCTGAAGTGGAATGAAGATGTTCACAGACTTTGATTGAATAAAGGATAAACCAATAAAAGCAAATGTACTATTCAATATTTCACTAGTATTCTGGCTGGTTGTAGTTTATATAATTTGAAGAAAACAAGCAGCCACGGTTGCAGCTACAGCCGATTAACTGTTACTATTAACTTTGTAATCACTGGTGTGGGAAGAAATGATTTTAGCCACAATAGATCCTTTACTACCCCACTTTGGTAGACACTACAGTGAAACCTTGACCAGAACCCACAGCCTCTTGATTCCCTGCAAAAAACCTTATTGAATTCAGAACTGCCTCTTCCCTGAATAGAAACCATCACTGCTGGGTTGCCACAACGGTACCAGTGACATTTTCAGAGGAATATACAAACAGATTCAAGTTTTCAAAGATCTATGTATCCTTTTCTGCTTGGATATCTTTAAACTTGCACAATAGTGAATCCATGCATGAGGATGCACTTTAGAATTCATACGATATTAATAGTTATCAAGCACTTATTCTACGGCAAACACTTTTTAGGAAGTTTGCATGTGTTAAGTCATTTAATCCTCAAGGTGGCCCCACTAAGTGGATACAATTATTATCATTATCCCCATTTTACAGCTGAGGGGATAACTAACTTGTCTAGATCTCATAAACGGAGGCAGAGCTGGGCTTTAACCCTGCATTTTGCGGCTGGGTATGGCACTTCTAAGTGCAGTGCTACACTTTACTGCATGTTTTGCCCTCAAAACTATTACTGTTGATAAAGATGAACATATTCTGAATTTTCATGTGTGCTTGAATTTCATAGCAAGTATCTATTATCAGGCTCTCCAGGGAAAGCAGATATGTTAGGAGCCAGCCTTGGAACTGGCCAAGAAACAGAGCATATTTCTCTGAATGTCTCCCATCAGTATTCTCCTGTTTTACTGATGTTTTATTAGCAGTTTTCTGTTTACATTCTTTTGTCAAATAATATCTTCCCTCTGATAGTAAAGTGCACAGATCTCAAGTGTACAGTTTGATGAATTTTGACAAATATATGATCCTGTAAATCAATATTCCAACCAAGTTATAGAACGTTGCCATCACCCTAGAAAATTCTTACCCTGGAAAGTTCTCTTCAAGGTCTATAGCCCCTCCTCCTCAGACAATCACTGCTCTGATTTCTACCATCACATGTTAATTTTGCCTATTATTGAACACACAGTATGTCATATTGGGGGGTCTAGCGTCTTTCACTCAACAGAGTGTTTTTGAGATTCATTCATGTTGTTGCATCTACTAGTAGTTCCTTCTTTTTATTGCTATGTGGTATTCCATTGTATGAAAATGCCACAACTACTTTATCTATCCTTTTGTTGATGGTTAATTTGGTTATTTTTAAATTAATGAATGAAGCAGTAATGAACATCCTTGTTTAAATCTTTTTGTGGATATATGTTTTCATTTCTTGTAGGTAAATATCTAAGTGTGGAATTGCTGGATTATGAGGTAGCTATATTGTGAAGATTGTAAAACATTCAAGTAGCTTTCCAAAGTGATTGCATCAATTCACAATTCGATTAGCCATGTATGAAAGATCCAGTTGCTCCATGTTATCTCCCACACTTGGTATTGTTAACACTTTTATTTTTCAGTTATTCTAATGGATGTTTGGGTATTCTCATTGTAGTTTTGATTTGCGTTTCCTTGGTGATTAATAATATTGACAATCTTTTCATGAGTTTATTAACCATTTGTATATCCCTTATTGTGAAGTATTTATTTAAGTATTTTGCCCATTTTTAAAACTTTGGTTGTTTTATTTTAAAATTATTGATTTGTAGGAGTAATTTGTCTATCAGGGACACAAGTCTTTTGTCAATGCTTGTCAGAATGGGTTTCTCAGGAAGCAGATGGAGAGGGAAATGTATGAGAAGTATTAGGGAGTGCTCTTGGGATCAACATCTGTAGGAATAAGGAAGATTTTTAAAGGGAGAAACTGGCCACCTGTGTAGTCACAACATAGGAAATTCTGAACCTGGTGGGCCTTCAGAATTTTCCTAAGTTGCAGTGTAGGACCAAACATTTACACTCCTGAGTCAATAAGACATTAGAGGTGGACTACCCCCAAAAGGAGGTGTGACATCTTCAACCTAGGCAATTCTTGAAGAGGGTTGTCAACTGAGAGCTGTCAGCCAACAATTTTCTAAGCAGTTCATTGCATAATCCTGTAGTCGTAGAGAGGGGTCTTGGAGATGCAACATGCACTCGCGATGGTTAGATACATGTATTGCAAATATTTTCCCCAAGTTTATTCAGATTTCATTTTCTTTATAGTGTCTTTCGATAAGCAGAATTTAAAATTTTTTTCCAGTTTATTAGCTTATCAAATTTTTTCCTTTAGAATTAGGTCTTTTCATATTTTACAACAACTTTGCCTATCACAAGGTCACAAAGAGATTTTCCTGTGTCTTCTTCTAGGGACTTTATAATGTAGCTTTTAAATTTAAGTGTGCAATCCATATTGAGTTAATTTTTGGGAATGTGAAGTATTCATCACGGTCCTTCTTTTTCCCATATGGATATCCAAATGTTCCAGCACCATTTGTTATTGATCCATTAGTCTATTCTGATACCAGTACTACATTCTCTTAATCACTGTGGCTTTATTGACAATATTGCAATCAGGTAGTGTATGCCTGCCAGATTTGGTTATCCTTCTCAAGATTGTTTAGGACCTTTGATGCTTGAACAACATAGATTTAAACTGCACAGGTACACCTAAACATGAATTCGTTTTCAATAAATATATTGAAATTTTTTTTGGTGATTTGCAACAATTTGAAAAAACTTACAGAAGAACTGTGTAGCCTAGAAATGCCCCCAAAATTAAGAAAAAGTTAGATATGTCATGAATGCATAAAACATATATAGATATTAAGCTGTTTTGTCCTTTACTACCATAAAATATATATAGATATTTTATAGAAAGTTAGAATTTATTAAAACTTATGCATATAAGCATTTATAGATCATAGATGGTGCCACTCACAGTCCAGAGAAATGTATACAAATGTAAAGATGCAGCATTGAATCACAACTACATAAAATTCACTGTTGTACATATTGTACTACTGTCATGATTTCATAGCTACTGCCTGTTGCTGTTTCCATGAGCTCAAATGTTGCAAGTATCTGCTTAAAATGTCACGTGATGCTAATCATTTCCACATGAGCAGTTTGTCTCTTTAGTGTATTGCATATTGCAGTGGAAAGTGATTTCTCTCAGTTCTTGCATATTTTTCAATGAGTTTAGTGCAACAGCATAGACCTTGAGTAACATCATACAAAGTGCCACTAGTGATGCTGGAAGCACTCCCAAGAAGCAGAGAAAGATTATGACACTACAAGAAAAAGCCAAACTGCTTGATATATACCATAGATTGAGGTCTGCAGCTATGGTCACCCACTATTTCAGATAGACAATCGATCTTGTAAACAGAAAATGCAAACTTACAGTATCAATAAATACCATGTGCACTGTAAATGTATTACCTCTTCCTTATGATTTTCTTAATAGCATTTTTTCTCTAGCTTACTTTATTTTAAGAATACAGTTTGTTATAGTACATATAACAAACAAAATAAGTGTTAATTGACTGTTATCAGTAAGGCTTCCAGTTAGTAGTTAAATTTTTGGAGAGTCAAAAGTTATATACAAATTTTTAAGTGCATGGGAGTTGGTGCCCCTAACCCTCATGTTGCACAAGGG